CCTGGTTTAAAAAGTGCATTTTAGGTCCAAAAAAAAAAAAAAAAAAAAAAAAAAGAAAGAAAGAAAAGAAAAGAATTCCAGTACAACGGGGCAATTGCCATTTTCAGGAAAACCATGGAGTTAGCCCTGTCCATAGTACCTGACAGTTGCCTAAGGCTTCCCAAGGAACAAAGTCAGGCAACTTAGCATTTAATTGTGATTTTGTACTAGCATCAGTACTTTGAAAATTTAAAAAAAAAAAAAAAAAAAAAAAAAAAAGAAAGAAAGAAAAGAAAAGAATTCCAGTACAACGGGGCAATTGCCATTTTCAGGAAAACCATGGAGTTAGCCCTGTCCATAGTACCTGACAGTTGCCTAAGGCTTCCCAAGGAACAAAGTCAGGCAACTTAGCATTTAATTGTGATTTTGTACTAGCATCAGTACTTTGAAAATTAAACTAATTGCTAACTTGGTGTTGAATCATGTTGGAACTGAACAATAATTGTGACGGACTTTAACAGTGGTTGTCAAACTATAGCCAATAGTCCTAATCTAGCTTATGACCTATTTATAGGGAAGTATGCATTGTTAAAGAGTTGCAAAGACGAGGAGGAGAAAGAGGAGAGAGGCAACCAAAACTGTAAAAGACCCACAGAACCTGAACTATGTGCCCTCTGGGCCTTTACAAAAAAGCTTATCAACTCCTGGCCTATAGTTTTACCATGTGTCCCCATTGCCAGGCAGAACACAGGCCTACAAGATCTTAGGCCCTTTCAAGAAACCACACATCCCAATGGTTTCCTCTAAAAGAAATTTTAGAGACAGAAAATCTGATCCCCACAGCCCAGACTTCCTTTTTCTACCCCACACGTTCTATTCTCAGGTAGAGACATTCAGAACAAAATGGAACGAAAGCACAAAGGGATTTCAGAAGAGGGAATGATTGGAATGAGGCTGTATGCTGGCAAAGGGCATGCATAGAAGATGGGGTTGGCATGTAAGAAGTGGAGGCTCTGGCTCCATGTCATCCCTGCAGCTTTCAAAACTATGGAGCCATCACCGGGATGTTTTTCCTGATCTTCCCTGTGCTCATCGCAGTGAGTCGAGTTGGAAGTCTGGCCAGTGGCATTTGGGTGAGCGGGAACAAAGCGGCAAATAACATGAGTAGGAAGAAGGGAAAGACAGGAGGAGCATAGAGAAGAGAAGGAGACTATGAAGAAAAAGATGAAGAAGATAAGGAGATGAAGAAAAGGAAGACTGTCTAGGGGTCAGAGTGAAGTGCTTGTCTAGCCATATGTGAGGCTCTCGGTTCAGTCCTCAGCACGAAGCAAAAGAGAAAGGAGGGGAGGGGAAGGGAGGGGAAGAGAAAATGAAGATGAAAATTGAGGAGTTGAAGAAAAACATGGCAAAGATGGTGATAAAGAATAAAGGTGTTTGGGGGCTGGAAAGATGACTCAGCAGTTAAGAGCACTGACTGCTCTTGCAGAGGACCCAGGTTCGATTCCCAGCATGCACATTGTGGCTACGAACCGTCCTTAACTCCAGTTCCAGGGGAATCCGAAGCCCTCTTCTGACCTCCGCAGCATTGCACGACGCAGGTGTACTCACATACATGCAGGCAATACACTCATACACATAAAATAAAAATAATAAAATACATTTTTTTAAAAGGTTTAAAAAATTTAAAGAAAAGAATAAAGATGTTTTGAGTCCCTTAAGTTTTTATCAAACTTCCATGATTTTTATGTGTATTATTCCAGCTAATCCTCACAATTGCCTCATGGAACAAGAATTTATTATTGTATTTATTTGGTATCTATGAAAACTGAGGCACCAGACCAATAGAAAATGATAATTACGGAATTTTAATCCAGCTACCTGATTCCAGGGTCCATGTTCTTAACTATTAACCTCTTTACCTCCACCATGAAGGAAGATGTCCGGCTCAGTGCACGTGGATGCAGATAGCACTTTATGTCAGGGTTTAGGGACTTGCAGAGCTAGCACGCAGACCCAAGGTGGTGGATTTGGATTTCTTATCCGAGGAATGTTGCCATTTTGAATGTTTCCTTCTTGTACACTGGCCTCACCGAACACAGTGCAGCCACATGCATTTTCCTCCCGACTGTTCTGGCCCCACTTCCATCTTTTTAGTTCTCCTCCTTCACGAGGTCCCAGCTTCAGGGCTCCCTTGGAATATGAATTTCTTTTAGCAGGATCTCCTTCCTTTTTTGGTGTGTTGATTCTCAGCTTGACTGGAAGTAATCATGGAACAGACAAGGTCTTGCAGGCTTGGCAGTGATCACACTACAAAAATATGTCCCCTTGGGGACTGGAGAGATGGCTCAGCGGTTTACAGCATTTGCTGGTCTTTCAGAGGACTGGAATTCAGTTCCCAGGAGCCATGTAGGGTGACTCACAACCACCAGTAACTCCAGCTCCAGGGGATCTCATACTCTCTTCTGGCTTCCTCGGGTACCTGTACACATGGCATACATACCCAGAGACACACATACAGACCCATAAATAAAAATAGATAAATCTAAAAAAATAAAAATTAAAAGTATGTCCCCTAGGTCATCCCTTGCTTGAGGGACTTCATGTAAAATCAGGCCGATCCCTTAAAGGACATCAAGTCGTGTCCAGCAATGAAGCTGGGATTCCACAACAAAAGGTCCATGAGCCTCCACTTGTTTCTCTTTCACATGCTTAACTTGCATACAACTCTCATTTGTAAAGAAAGCCTCGTTGGATGTAGCAATTTCGAGGAGAGGCTTAAAGGAGCTAAGAGATTTGAAACGAGCAGGGGTCAGTTCCTTGTGGCAAGTGATGGGTTTCTCAGTGTATTCTTTCTGAAGCATCAACAGGAGCAAAGCAAGATTAATACTGATGGGGGAAACACTAGCTGCCACTGCCCCTCCACTGCTCTAGGTGCTTCTTCACATGTCACTCATTCAATTCATCAACTTTACAGGGGAGGAATGTTACTCAGTGCCTCCCAATTTAGAGATACAAAAACTAAAGAACACAAAGATCAAGTGGCCTGTCCAGGTTTGCAGACCCAGATAGTCAGCCACTAAAGAGAAGGTATTGAGTGCCCACACTGCCGCCTCTGGTTGAGCTTGCCACTCATCAGACAGCCACCCTGACATGTGCCCACAACCCTCATCCCCAGGCAGAGCGAGTGACTCCCTGGGACTCATACAGGCACATTTGGATCTGATTTCATGCTGTGAGTAGTATGTGGGGCTTTAATATATTTTGCCTACTTTTTACTGTTTCCTCTATTGGCAAGTTTCTACCCGTAGGTAGTAATGAATACAAAAAGGCTTTGTTCAGTTGTATTTGTTTTTTATTTGGGTGACGGTAACTTTTTCCATATAACTATGGGAAAATGAGTTCTTGTCTGTGTTTAGGAATTGAAGACACTTTCAGGACGGCCGCCACCGAAGTGAGTTTGCTTGCGGGAAGTGAGGAGTTTAATGCCACCAAGTTGTTTGAAGTTGGTAAGAGGAGTTTTTCTTTTTCGTTTATCCAAATATTGATTTAGTGCATTGGAGGTTCCTTTCGCTTTTTCAGTGCCATCTTTGGATTCATGGAAATGATATTTTCTTCTTTAAGGGTCCAGTGCTCCCAGCATATTTTGGGCTCACTGAACAGACTCCAAGCACAAGAGAGCAACCCTGTCCCTCCTTTATAAGACAACCATAGGGCATCTCTGTGAGCACCCTCCTCCCTGTAGTGCCTCAACAGTGAGAGACAAGTTAGAACCCTCCCTTCCCCCAGTGCAAAATCAGCCCATAGCTCAGGCTTTATCCAAGGAGCTCTGCTCTCACCCAGCATTCCCAGTAAAACCAGTACTCTAGCAGAAGGAGGGAGGGGGAGATTGGGGATTTTTTTTAACTTTTACAAAAAACTTTACTGAGAATTTCATACATGTGTATAAGGTGTTTTGATCAAATCCATGCCCACTCCCTCCCCTCCAACTCCTCCCATATCTCCCCATCACTTTTCTTTTCTTTTTCTTCTTTCATTTATTTATTTTTACAGGGCTTTTGGGTACTCTAACACTCCCCCTCTGAAGAGGTAACCCTAAAATCTTTTAAGGATTAGATACAAGCTCCCAAATACTTTTGACATTTTTGGCCTTTGTAACAGAGTATGTTGCTAAGAGGCCCAAGGACAAGGTGACTTTTAGCCAAGAAACTGGCTACTTTTCTTTGGGGCCTTTTTACCCTAACTGCCTAGCCAGTTCCTACCTCCTATTTTTAATCATGCCATCCTCTGAAGAGGTTACCCAAATTGCCAGTAAGGAATAGGGACACAGACTGCTCTGGCTTCGTTCATGCTGAACAGGGACGCAGGGTGAGACTATTGGAGTACCCCTTCAGTGGGTCTATCTAAAAGACTCCCAAATTGCATAACTCTTATCTCTAAGGGGAAAAGAAAGTTCTTAAATTGTGAATAGGAGGTTCATATGAGAGGCCATTGGAATTTCTTGACGAGAGCATTCCTCAATTGGGTTCCTCCTCATTTTTTTTTTGTCTTCCAAGGCTGGGTCCAGGATTTGCTTTCAGGCACTTTGATAGCTGTTGTAGTGGTTAGAATCAGTGTCAGGTCCCTCTCAAAGGCTTCTAGATAGGGGGAGAAAACAAATTCATCCATCATTTTAGAACAATAGCTGGTTGTCTCCCTTAGCTACAGGTGGGCACTAAAGTATTGCAAACCAAGATTTGAAGTCTTACATCTGAGCAGCACTTTCTGGTTAGGAATAAAATCACCAATGAGAAATAATTGTCTAAATAACTTTTTGTATGGACTTAAGCCTAATGTCTAGGAAGTGTAATCCCTTTAGCTCTTAAAGTATATTGATGACTCTACTCTTTGGTTATACTTTCCTTTTGGGTGTTTAAAACCATACTGTTGGCCCAAATAAATCAATTTTTTTGTCTTTTTGAAGCAGGGTCTCCCTGTAGCCTCAGCTGTCCTGGAACTCACTATGTAGACCAGGTTGGCCTTGAATTCACAGAGATCATTTTTATACTTAAGGTCATTTAAGGATCTGTTCCTCAGGGGTCACATGGACTTGGGAGGAGCTCCTGGTTCCTTTCTTTTACCAATTCCATCTATGTGAAGATAAGTCAAACGTCCTGTTCAACCATGTCTGGCTTCACTTGGAAGCATGAATGAGCTGTTTCCTCTAAGCTGACCTTCCTCTTTATAGACTGGACACTGGTTCAAGTCCATCTCTTGGGGTCTCCATGTCCTCCCTGAACAAGAGGACAGGTGACTCACCACATTTACTGGACATTTTGAGAGGTGTTCCATAGGAGGGGGTATTTTCTTAATATTATACACTCCCCTCTCCTACAAGAATTTTCCATCAACCTTTGGTGCATGCTGCTGTGCATCGCCCTTGTCTACTAGAAAGTCCTGGTGCAAAAACAACAGCCCAACTGAACCCAACTGCAAGTACCTTCCCAGGTGCAAACTTGCTTTGAAATAGCTTCATTTGCATCCAGATATACTTCTATGCTGTAAAGAGTCAGATTCCTTCTGCCTCACTTCTTTTTACCCCCTAAAATTCTTTCTTAACCTCTTGTCCACAACACCTCCTCAGCCATAACTGAGCAGTCCTAGGTCTCTTCTTTTTTCATAGCCCAACTCTTTGAGACTTAATTTGGTGTACAAGTACATTTCTCTTTCTCAAATGACTATGGGGTCGGGCAAGGGTCTTAGTAGAATGGTCAAGAAAGCAAAGAAAGAATGAAAAGAAACAAACAATAAACAGTTACAGCCTTAGGGGGCAGTAGAGAGTGGGAGTGACACTCCTGCTTCTTCTGAATGGTCCAGCAATGACCTGACCACCATGAAATGAATATCAACCCAGTCCTACCAGATGTACTGGTTTTCCAAGACAGACTGAGATTCTGGTTTTGCTAAAATATATCTTGATTATACAATGCTTGTTAATAATTTACTTTTAAAACAAATCCATTCAAATATGCCTGTAAGCCAAACTAGGGATGGTTTGGAAATTCTGTGTTACTAGGACCTCCACCTCACATATACAGTGAAACTATATTTAACAGAATATTTCTGAAATCACAGGGCATTTGATTTATTTAAAAATGACTTTAAAGGTGTGAGTTTTACATAAAATGAAAGAAGACTAATATGTTCTTTGGGGGTCAGAGAACTTCTCATGCCTCCTCACATCACCTTCCACAGGAAGGCACCTCTTACCTTTTTGCAGAGGGTGAGGCAAAAGGTCAAATCCAGTATGTGGGTTGAGTAGGCCTCACCAGGGATAAGTAGACCTATTTCAGCCAGAGTCCAGGCAAGAAAGAATTCAGTACAGTCAGTATAAGCAATTGAGCAGCTTCCACAATCCTCCCCAAAGCAACATTATCAGGTCTGTCACAGCAATACCCCACTTCCGGTACCAACTTCTGTCCTAGTTTCTTTCTGTTGCTGTGATAAAAATACTTGGCTTTTAAATGGATGCTGGGAATTTGAACTCAGGTCCTCATGCATGTGCAGCAAGTATTTTACCCGCTGAGCAGCTCCTTGCCCCTCACCAGGTGTTTTTTCCTACTCAACTTTAGCTTATAAAATTAACACTTGCCTAAGGGTTCTCCCTTAGCGTGGCCAGGATGGGAACACCAGGGTAACAAAACACTGGAGGTAGTCAACAAAGTGCATGCAGCAGACTCTTCTAGGAGCTCTGAGGAGGAAACCTGTGGCTACCATCAGTCCTGCCATGGCTCAGGGCCAGTATGATATCACATGCCCTCCAGATTACTCCCTAACTTACCCTACTAGAAATGACATTTCAGTTCTAAACATCCATTGCTTTTTTGGTGAGACAAGATTTTACTGTATGACCAGTAGAGCCAAGTATTGTGGTACATGGCTATAATCCCAGCATCCAGGACCTGAAGTGAGTTCTAAGTCAGCTTGGGACACATAGATTGTCTCAAAAACAACAGCAGAAGAATAACAAAAGTTAGGTTTTTGTTCAGAGAGGAGTAAAGCCATAAAGAGCCTAGTGGTACATGCATTAGTAGCTTTCTGTCACTGTGAAGAAATACTTGAGAAACTTAAAATGAGGAAAGATTTATTTTGGCCCCCAATTTCAGTGCTTAGTCACTTGGCCTATGGCCTTTGGACCTGTAGCAAGGAAGAAGATCGTGGTAGGGAGCTTGCGATAGAGGAGGCTGCTCACCTCATGGTAACCGGGAACAAAAAGCAAAGAGATGGAAGAGGCTGGGATCCCAAGATGCTTTTCAAGGGCACATACCTAATGATGTAACTCCCACTAAACCCTACCTCCTAAAAGTTCCACTGCCTACCCATAGTGCCACAGGCTGGATGGAGATCAAGCTATCAATACATGGGCCTTTGGGGAGGCATTTAAGATTTAAACCAAGTGTAGTGAGATGGAACAGCAGATCAAAAGATGTTTTATACTGGGGCCAGCCAGTCTACTTTCAGGAGGGACCCGGAAGGAAAGGCTATATACTTGGTCAGCCAAATGTAGGCCAAAGTCCAGGGGCTTGAAGAAAGGAGAGACACTTAACCAAGTTTGATTATGATGCATTCTGGTCTGATCAATCAGTGGGAGCAAGTTCAATTAATTCATGAACAAAGACAGGAAGGTCTGAGCTTATTGTACATAAATGGGGAAGGGTACGTCCATGAGTCTCGTCTCAATCCAGTGGGTGAAGGCGTTCTTTGCCATCAGCCCCTGTCCAGAACACTAAAGAGTGAAGAGGGGAGGAGGGAAGCATGGATTCTTAACTATTGCTGTTTTCAAAGATAAAGTTCTTTGAATCTTTGGCCTTGTGCCTGCCAGCCAAGTACTCTACTACTAAGCAGCATCTCCAGCCTTCTTTTACTTTTTATTTTGAGTTAGGGTCTCATTAAGTGGCCCAGGGTGGCCTTAAACTTATTCTGTAGACAAGTTCAGGCTGGCCTTGAACTTGTGACCTTCCTGCCTCAGCCTCCCACTTAACTGGAATTACAGGCCTGGATTACACCGAAACCTGGCTCTGGAGGAGAAAAAGTTCTTGAATAAAGTGTGACATTGTCATTAAATGGGAATCATAAGGAGGGGCTTCTGAGGTCCCGGGTTGTATTGAAACACTATTTCTGCTCTTTGCATCGAATTGATCCCTGCCTGTACTGGCTGCCCCCCTCATGTCACGTCACTGTTCTCACGCTGGCATGCCCTGGTATCATCTCCCAAATAACCATTTCCAAGGCACCTTGGCCTCAAAGTCGAGAAGAAACCAAACTAAGACATGATTTCGTCCCAAGCAGAGGGTCAGTGTTTGCTTATACCCTGGCCAGTTGTTCCCAAGGAACAATAAAGGACCAGCATATGGACAACTTCCAGTTGTTTAAATGAAGCCAGAGTGTACAACTAGAATCGGGATTAGTTAATTCTCAAGTGTTTGCAACTAAGGAACTTTTTTTAAATGCTGTACGACCCAAACATATCACCTCTGGGTTCTGAGTCACACATCCTCCTCTTTGAGGCATCTTAGCATATGCATATATAACCTGCTTCAGGTCCAGCAGTTGAGAGATGAGCTATGTTTTAAACCACTTGGTGAGTGGCAAAAATAAATTCAGTTCTACAAATGTTCCTTTGAGGCCTTTCCACCATATCACCACTTATTTAGAGAAGAAATTCAATACAGCCCTCAGAATTACTTAATTTTGTTAGGGTGGATAATCAGGCTATGGTTATCTGGGACAATATCCTGATTTTGTTTTATGCTTGGGGGTTTTTTGGGGGAGGGGGGACTTTGGTGTGCGCTGCTTTGGTCTGGACATTTTTTTGAAGATGTCTACAAAATTTGGGGATAATAACATATGTTTCCTTGTAATTTTTTAAAGATGGAACAAATATAGTGACAAATACGAGTGACAGTCATTCGATGAGTGCATTCTGTGTCTGAAAATTTCTCACACTATAAAGTAGGTAGGATGTCTTATAAACTAAGCTCCCAAGTTTAGGGGAGATGAGAATGAACCCCATGCCTGGTGGTTCTGGGTAGCTGCAGGAGTCTCTGATGCTAAGGAAAAATGCTGTTGATTTCAGTGCTATCTGGCCAGCAACTGGGGCAGGTGCTGAGAAAGGTTTTTTCTGGTCTTTTTCAGACACGGACAGTTGTGAGCGATGGATGAGCTGCAAAAGCGAGTTCTTAAAGAAATACATGCACAAAGTAATCAACGATCTACCCAGCTGCCCCTGCTCTTACCCCACCGAGGTGGCGTACAGTACCGCCGACATCTTCGACCGCATCAAGCGCAAGGACTTCCGCTGGAAGGATGCCAGTGGGCCCAAGGAGAAGCTGGAGATCTATAAGCCCACTGCCCGGTACTGCATCCGCTCCATGCTGTCCCTGGAGAGCACTACACTGGCCGCCCAGCACTGTTGCTATGGTGACAACATGCAGCTCATCACCAGGGGCAAAGGGGCAGGGACGCCCAACCTCATCAGCACCGAGTTCTCAGCCGAGCTCCACTACAAAGTGGACGTGCTGCCCTGGATCATCTGCAAGGGCGACTGGAGCAGGTATAACGAAGCCCGGCCTCCCAACAACGGGCAAAAGTGCACAGAGAGCCCTCCTGATGAGGACTACATCAAACAGTTCCAAGAGGCCAGGGAATACTAAAGAGATGGGGATGAGGTGGAGAGAATGCACTGCTGGTTTGGGGGCACAAATGCACTGCACTGATCTGCCGACTGTCACCAAGTTCTTTTTATCCACATATGTGTATATTTGTATATACCACATGAGTATTTTTATAAAGTACACTAGAGCTGTGCACCAGGCCTGGGGGACTGCCATGTCCAATGCCTACAGATCTTCTTGGAAGTCCTCCTGGTGGCCATGTGGGCAGGAAGGGGGCAACCAGGAAGTGAGAAGAGGATTCTGGGAGCCATGGTGGATGTGATTCAAGTCATACCTCCATCCGGTGTTTGTAAAAGAAGGTCAGGTACCCAGAGACTGAGGTTGTAAACATTATAAGCAGTTTATATATATATATATAT